GTCCATTCTCACTACTCCTGTTTAATATAGTGCTAGAAATTCTAGCCAGAATAATTAGGCAAGAAAAGGAAATAAAAGGGATGAAAATAGGAAAGAAAGAAGTCAAATTATTACTGTTCACAGATGATGATATGATCCTATTTACAGAAGACCCAAAAACTCCACCAGAAGGCTGCTGGAGCTCATAAACAAATTTGGCAAAGTAGTAGGTTCCAAAGAAAAAAATGAAATTACGGCATCTGCAAGAAAATGGATGTAAGGAGAGACCATCATGTTAAGTGAAATAAGTCAAACTTAGAAGGTTAAGAGATGTATGTTTTCTCATATGTGGAAGCTGGAGAGGAAAAAGAAAGGCAGGGGTGGATCTCCTAAAAATCAAAGGTTGATCAGTAAAGGAAAGGGACCAAGGGGTAGGAGGAAGGAAGAAAGGTGGAGTGATATTGGCCAAATTATATCATTATATTGCATGCATTTAGAAATATACAGCAACAAATCCCATCAATAAGTACAACTATAATGTACCAATGAAAATGTAGGAAAAAGTCAGGGCAGAGGTGCACACCTATAATCCCAGCTACTCAGGAGGCTGAGGCAGAAAGATTGTGAGTTCAAAGCCAGCCTCAGCACCTTAGTGAGGCTCTACGCAACTTAGCAAGACCCTGTCTCAAAATATAAATAAATAAACAAACAAACAAACAAACAAATAAACAAATAAAGGGCTGGAGATGTGGCTCAAGGGTTAAGCACCGGTGGGTTCAGTCCCTGGTAACAAAAATAAAAAATGATGGAAGGTCAGAAACTGAAAGGAGTCAGATGGAGAGAAAGGAGAATTAGTTAAACATAATAAGAAAGAAAAGAAAGTAATTGAAGAAGTGAGTGTAAGCAACAGAAACATTTCACTACTAGATTTGACAGCCTGTGAGCTGCAGGTAAAATGTCCTAAGGAAGGAGCTAAGTTTAAGGTAATTCAAGGAATGAAAACAAAAGGTTGGAGACAAAGATCTTGGGAAGTTTGCTAATTGCGGAAATCGATTCCAAATGCCTTGCAGTGGAACCATTTTTATCACAGGAGGAGAACTGGAGACCTGGGTCAGGAGAAGCATGAGTGTGGGGAGGGTGAGCTACATGTGGCTGAGAGAGAACACGTGCTTACACTTTGGGCACTGATTACAGGCAGTAGAGAATATGGCCTGACCATCTATTTCGGGAGAGGGTATAGGGTATACTGATCAGACCTGATTCAGATGGCCAAGTGATGGTCACCCCAGAGCTCTAAACTCTGCTTGGGACCTATCTTCCCCGTTTTTCTTGCTTGGTACCAGGCTTCTAACTGCTACCTGCTGCTAGAGTGTCCTCATGTGACCAGGATCCACCAAGTTCATCCCTTTCTTTGTGTAGTCACTCATTCTGTTTGCAGGTCCCTCAACTACATCTAGGCCAGGGGCCTGCATACTATGACTCAGAACAAAGACTATATTTCAGAAATACAGTCTTTTACAGGAAAGGTGATTGATTTGTTATCTAAGTCATCTCCTACATATTCAACTTAGAAGGGTCTGGGGATATAGCTCAGTTACAATTTTTTTTTTCATTCAATCAACCTAGTAATTCCCTTCCTAGAAAGTTGCAAAAGCATTGTTTAAAAGAATCAAAAAGTACATCCAAGAATTATTTTTAATAATTATTTTAATATGGAAAGTAACTATCCCACAGTATCCCAGGTCCCATCCATCTCCTTTAGAAGACAACAATATGGGTTCTTTGACTATAGCAATGGTACACAACTTAGCACCTACAGATTCCACTTTTATAAAATAGTGATTATGTTTTTCTGATGGTATAAGATGTATGTTCATCACAGAATATTTGGAAAATGCAGAAAAAAATTAAAGAAGGAAAAATATTCATTCTCTCTCCAAATATAGAAAATTACTATGACATTTTCTCCTGTCTCCTTTCTATGTATTTGTAAATACAGAGATAAAAGTAATATGTGTTACAAAATAGTATTACACAATACTTTCTAGGATGGGTACGCATGAATATTTATAGCCAATTTTCTCCTACTAGGTTACCTGAGTAATTTCTAGTTTTCATTTCTGTAAATATTTCATCATACAAATCTGATGATTTATTTAGTGAAGGTTAACATCATTTTGTTTTTCTTTTCTCTGATCGGTGTGGCATTGTCTAAGCTCTTCAATCCATTACAGCTCCCAGAGGTCAAATTATAAAAAGTATTACTAGACAAGCAGAGATAAGGCAAACATGGTGCAATTACTATCATCAGCAAATATTTCCAGGGCAATTTCACTACGCCTGTTGCTCCTACACTGCAAACTGGAAAATTGAGAAAATAAATGTTATACTCACAAGACTTAAGAGAAAAACAGGTTCACATTTATCCTTAAACGAATGCAAAGTTACAATGCTGTCAGCTTCTGCCTGGAAAAAAAAAAGTAAATGTTTTACATAATGAAAAACTATATCCAAGTCATTTGCTACACTCTGGTAAAACAATGTAGAGATACTTACAATTTTTATGTTTACTGTGACATTTTCTGAGTATGTTATAGTTTCATTAAGGATCGAATTGCATATACTAGCAATTCAAGCCCTGCATCATTTGTCATCAAGGTCACTCTCACTGTTCCCCTTTATGGTACCCAGCCTTCAGTCAAACTCATTTCTTGGTCTTTTCCTTCCTCCTTGCCTGGACCCATCCTTAATTTTCAACCCAGTTCAAGTTTACTTCCTCCAACGGGTCTCTCTTACTCTTCCTGCTACAAATCACTTCTTACTCCACACTGCACTTGATTCCCCTCTGCTGGGCACCTATTGTCCTTTTCCATGGTGTACTATGGATGCAGTCCTCTCTCACCCACTGAGTAAGGAAAGCCCTCTGTGTGGATAGAGCGTATTCCATATCCACAATGTTATCTCAGCCCTCCCCTGCTATCAGTCGCAGGGCCATACCACAGGGAGCTCACCAAATGCTTCTTGAATGAACTGGCAGGCAAATTGTGAAGTCTTTCATTTTTATGTATGCAATTTTCTCGCAAACTTCAAGTTGTCCTAAGCTGATTATGTACAATTATATATTAAGTAACTGTCTTCCTCCATACTAACAGCACCTGCTGATCCAGCCACCACACTGAGGGCATGTTAGACATTTCAGACTGCTATAACAAACTGCCATGGACTGAATGGCTTAAAAACAAGCGAGTATTTCTCACAGTTCTAGAAGCTGGAAATCCAAGACCAGAGTGCCAGATGATCAGATTCCTGGTGAAGGACTTTATTCTAAGAAGGTCTACACTTACATGGGTAGCTATGTTAATGGGTATATTGACTTCTATGGAGCGAGCTGAGGGAGTCTGTGTTCCTAGGTGCTACTAGGTGGACACAGCCTGAGGCCTCCAGGAAGCACTGTCTCTAGTATCATCTCTGCTATCAGTATTCCTCTCCTGAAGATGTTGATCTGTGCTAAAATGGAAGCCTAAATGGTCTAACTGTTCTTCCACACATACCACCTCAGCCTTCACATAGTGTGCAGTTCCTATTCAGACTCTATAAACAGCAGGAATTTAATGACTCTAACCTCTTTGGCCACAGCATCAAATTCTGCTTCCTGCTTATCTAAAGATTCCTAACTTTTCTATGCTCAAAGTTTCTTTCCAGATACTTTTAACAGGTGGGCTTCCAGATAGACTGGCAGGGGAGCAGGGAACCTGCCTGTTGTCAGCCTCTCCCCATTGGACTCAATTTCCCCCTGGACACTGAAGTTTCCCTCAACTTTTAGCCTTTGAACTTACACTCCTACTTCTTTCATTCCAACCCCCAGGATGCCCAAGAGTTTTTTATTTTAAAGACAGGGGGGAAAAACACAGAATATTTATTACATAATAAAGATATGGGAATGTTAGGCGCCCAAAAGAATTTTCCACTCCTCAGTTCTCTGTGATTCCATCTGCCAAATGCTGAATTCCTCCAATATTGACCTTAACTTATGCCCACCCTGGTGGATCACATGTTTTCTGCTCTCTGAACTTTGTTTTTCCTCTTTGCCAAGAATCAGATCTAGATTTGAGTCAAATCTAGATTTAGATTTCAAATCTAAATCAAATCACATCTTAGTTTTTAAAAGAACATGGCCTGATTTTTTGAGTGAAGAGTGAAGTAGGTTGTTAAAAAAGCTTGCCTTTTAAAAAACCCGCAAAGCCCAGAGAATGAAAACACAAGCCATGGCCTATAAGAAAATATTTGCAAGAGAATTGAAGCAGGTTGTTAAAAAAGCTTGCCTTTTAAAAAACCCACAAAGCCCAGAGAATGAAAACACAAGCCAAGGCCTATAAGAAAATATTTGCAAGAGAAATGTTTGACAAAGGACTGTTAATCGAAATGCACAAAGGAAGTTTAAATGTTAATAGTAAGAAAACAAAACAAAAAAAAAATGGATGAAAAAAAATGAGCCAAAGACATTATCAGATACCTGTTTTAAGAAAAAAGAATATGCAAGTGTCAAATAAGCATATGAAAAGATGTTCCAAATCATGTCTTCAGAGAAGTGAGAGTTAAAACAACAAGGAGCCAGGCAAGGTGTCATATGCCAATAATACCAGGGATTCAGCAGGCTGAAACAGGAGGATTTCAAGTTCCAGGCAAGCTTTGACAGCTTAGTGAGACTCTGTCTCAAAAAAAAAAAAAAAAATTAAAAGGGCTGAGAATTTAGTCAGTGGACAAAGCACCTCTGGGTTTAATCCCAGTATGAGAGACAGATAGATAGACAGAGAGACAGAGAGACACAGAGAGCTAGCTAGATCACCACATACTTATTAGAATGCCCTAAATCTGGAACCCTGATATCACCAAATGCTGGAGAGGATGTGGAGCAGGAAGACTCACTGCTCATTGTTGGTAGGAATATAAACAATTCAGTCCCTTGGGAGGACAGTTTGGTAGCTTCTTATAAAAGGAAATATAGTTTTATCATATTGTCCAGCAATCACTCTCTTTGGGATTTACCAAAATTAGGTTAAAAACATGTCAACACAAAAAAACATGAAGTTTATAGCAACTTAATTCAAAAAGGCCAAAACTTGGAAAAAGCCAAGACATTCTTCTGAAGGTGAATAGATAAACTAAAGTATATCCAGTCAATGGAAGGTTTTCCAATACTAGGAAGAAATGATATCAAATCAGGAAGACATGGAAAAAGATTCACTGCATATTACAAAGTGAAGAATGCCCATCTGAAAAGGCCTCCTAACTGCATGATTGCAACTATATGATATTCTGGAAAAGAGAAATCAGGGGTTTCCAGGGACTTGGTGAAAAAGAGGACTGAATAGTTAGAGCCTGAGTACTGTTGGACCAGTGAAGCTGTTCTGTATGATACTGTAATGATGGACACCTGTCATGATCCATCTGCTAAGTCCCACAGATGAATCAACACCAAGAGGGAACCCTAATGCAAACCATGGACTTTGGCAGATAATGTTGTTTTAAGGTAGGTTTGCTGATTGTAATAAATGTATCACTCTGGTACCAGATTTTGATAGTGGGGGAGGCTGTGGGTGTGTAGAAATAAGGGAAGTGTGTACTTTCTGCCAATTTTTCTGTGAACCAAAAACTGCTGCAAAATAACATCAATATAAATTTAAATTGTTTTAATGAAAGAAAAAAATGACAATTATCATATTATTCCATGATACCCAACAAACAGCTTTTGTAGGCCTTGTTCTAAGGGCACACACTAAACATGAGGTATCCATTGTTGCACTTTTCCAGTGTTTACAGTCATGGCATGTAGAATCAGATAAAAACCACATTCATTTTCAGATATGGTAGAACCAAATTGGAAAACTGCAAAGTAAACATTGTCTATTTTGAAAAACGGACAGGTTTTTAAATTAAGACTACACTTAAACGATTATAGGGTACTTAAAACACGATAACAAGAGAACAATAGTTCAGTGAACAAGAAATCCTTACAACAACAAAATGCAGAAGTTCGTCTTCGTTGAGCTCATTTTTCAGTTTCCT